GATGCAATTTTGACACAAAAGTGGGGCCATCAATGTGATTGTGATGGCATAAAAATAGGAGCGATGGCATCAAATAGTGTCAAATGGAGTCACATTTGGCATCACAAAAATGTCGTTTTCCATTGGTGAGGCGCTCTGTGCCCCAAGAACGAGGCTCACAGAGGGATTTGTGGAGATGCTGTGAGGCACCATTTGAGTATCGAGTGCACGCCAATCCATGAGTCCGCACGCCCCCATGAGCGGACGACGTGGACAGCTGCTTGTCATCTTCTTGAAGGCGCAAGAGCTTCATGCGCTTGGAGCGCATTGTCACTTTGGGGCATTGCTGTAAAACCCAATGCCTTTGTGCTCAGGAATCGACAAGCAGAGATGCTATCAGATGTATCATTTATTCCAATTGCCGCAGCATGCCAAAGTTGTTTTTGCCTACCAGGGATTTATTTATATGTTGGCAGTTGCCGTGGTCGTAATTTGCACATTTTCGTTCCGCTATTTGAGCAACATTGACCATCAGGAGCAAAGGCTGAGTTTTGCCAAACTTTTTTGACAAGTTTGGTCAACGAATCTTCACCTGCCAGATGCTACCAGTCGGCATCAATTGTGGCTCGCTGAGTCTGCATAGTCTGTCCCAAACTGCAGTGCTGTTGCAGCTGCCAGCACAATCTCAATACTGCAAGCTTGCAAAATATTGTGTCCAAGTCCCAGGTTCCAACGATTTGTAGGCAGCAGTTGACGTTCGCTTTGAGTGATTCTCAATCTGATTGCATTTATACGCCTTCCAAGCATCTTTTGGGATCTGCGCGGAGGTGACAGTGCTGAGGCGTAATGCAATAGGGATAGAGCAGGGCGGTTTGGTGTGAACGCTCGACTTCGGGAAATGCTGTCTCTGGTGATTTTCTCAGCATATGTCCAAAAGCACTGCCTGGCCCATTGAGGGGCTGATGATGTGCTGCTTTTGTGAGAGGACAATGACAGACAATGCAACGAATGTACCCTGACAGCACGGGCTCGTGCATTCTTGCATCGCGAGGGATTCAACTGTGCCCTGCAGGAGGCATCCCTGTAATTCTTCAGACTTCTTTCCACACTACAAGTACTGTTCGCAAGTCTGAGTACCACAGAAAGCACGTGGAGTACAGAGCATCACAAATAGTCAAATGGTGTGCTCAAAGCAGGGGAAGGATCATAGAGCTGATTGAAGAACAGAGGTTGCATTTGGGTTGGCATTAGTGTCACAAGCTGCGTGCCCCCAGCATGAGGCTGTAGAAAGTTATCACGCCATCAGTGAACAGTCCATCGTTGTGAACACACAATGCTTATCAATCCATATCTCTTTCTATGGCATCTTGGAACAGGGATTGCCTTAACAGGTGTCCCTAACCAAGGAGTCCTCTCTAATGGCAGCTGATTTCTATGTGCCTTTTTCGATAGCGACAGACAGACTTGGATGGCTGGGGCTCACTACCGGACGAGGAAGACTTTGTTGATCAAGAGGATGAAGCCCTTTATTCAATGCCCTGGCATTGGCCAATGGTAAAAGCCCCTCGTCTTGCGAATCGGCACTGGGACTCGTGGGATGCAAAGGCCTCAGTGTCGCTGTCCATAAGCCAACAGAGCTGGATATTTCCCTTGGATGCCATGGAGGGAAACATGGTGGAGAAATTTGGAAATGTGGAGATCCAGGACCAGCTAGTGGATGATTTGTGCCCCTGAAAAGGCTGACAGGCTAGAGGCACCAGGGCTTGAGATACTACAGATGCTTTGCTGAAGATTTGGCACACGTGAACAGCCTTGCCGGCCTGACGCGCCTTGAATTATTTGGTGAAGTTGGGGATGCAGATGCGATTAAATTGACCAACTTGACGGGTCTCCAGCATGTGGTAATGCACGGCTTGTGGATCACTCAGCAGAGTCTTGAGTTACTGGCACGCACAACAACGCTGACAAGCATAGGGCACTCTGGCAGTGTCGGACCTGAAGCGTTGCGGTATTTGTGGGGCAAGCCGAGTCTGACAAAATCAGCTTCACGAGCCAAAGTTCAGTTTCATGCACATGCGCCAGGGACCTGGAGGTATTTACAAACCTGAAGAGCCTGAATGTGTCTTGTGGAGATATCGACTTCGCAGATTTCGGATTGTTGATGTGCTTGACAGAAATCTGTCTTACCAACTGCGACTACGTAAGCATTGCGGGCTTTAGGGGCTTAGGCTGTGAGATAGCCCTGAAACGTCCCCAATTGGGCGGCATTTCAAACTTGAAAGACTCAGAGTTGGAAGAGTGTAAAGCGCTGCAGAGTCTACAGTACCTGTGGCTGTCTGGCTTGGAGGGCTATGGCAGGGAAGAGACTAAGACCACGGACGTTGTTCTGGCCACCGTCATGAGTTTAGCAGCATTGACGCACCTAGACCCAAGTGCATGTCGCACTACTAGGGGCGAAGGGCTCTTGCAAGAGTCAAGGGTACTACCTTGGACCCCTCAGGCACCTCAGACTCCGTCAAGAGTACTTCCTCAGACTCCTAAGGGGCAGCCTCTTTCGTCTGGGCCTGGCTTGCTGCCAAAGAATTGCAGATGAGGGTCTGGCATTAATGGGATCCAAGACCAAGCTTGCCCATCTGGTCCTGGGACTACAAAGAAATTACAGATGAAGGGTGATATCACGTGGAATCCTTGGACACATAGGCGCACTGGGAATTGCACGTTGGGGATTGTACCTACAAGGGTTTGAATAGCTTGGGCTCGTTGACAAGACTGAAATATCTCAAAATCAGATCCAATGGAATCATTGACGATGGGCTGAGGTGCTTGACAAGGATGCGCACATTGTGCACTTCCACATTGAAGATGCACATCGGTCCACGGGCACAGGTCTGCAGTACGTGGGATGCTGCACCGCACTCACCATTCTCGTGTTGTGTAATTACAGTGGTCTTAGATCAGGGTTCCAGCACTTGGACATGCTTGAGCTCCTGACAAGACTTTTCTTACTCAATTGTGCGATTACCGATGATGGTGTGAGACAATTGAGTGAGCTCCCAGCTCTCAAGGCTTCTCTCATGGACATCACCTTGTGTGCCTTTGTGATAACGTCAATGAAATTAACTATCTTGTTAATGGATTTCTGCCAAGGGAGACGACGGGTGGGCTGCGCTGGGTGATTTAAAGGCGCAGTTTGAACTTGGGGCTCACTCAGCCCCCTCCCCTTGGGATTTCTGGCCACGCTAGTAATGTGCGTCAGTCAAAGTACGAAAATTCGAGGTGCCGCCAACCTTGGCGCCCTTGGGTTTGGCGGGCTTTGGCGGGGCTGAGTGGGGGCGGCTATTTAGGCTCCCCCCTCAGTCCCCCCCCTTATCTTGTTTCGCACCCAGCCCTCCCACCCTAGAGAGTGGTGTTCGGTTTTGTTGTGGGATGGAGAGGGAGTGAAGGAGTGAAGTACGGGATTAGGGGACGGACTCATGGGGTGGGTCACCCTCTGAGTGGCAATAAGCCCTATCAAAGCCAGGCTTGCTTTTTACGCCGTAAAAACTGATCGTATTTACGTTTTTACACGTAAAAACAGTTTTTACGTTTTTACACGTAAAAATGCACGTAAAAATACGTAAATACAACGTAAAAACTGCCTGGTGTACATAAGGACAGTACATACAGACTTACGGAGTCAGGAGAGTGGCAGCCAGACGCCCTGGAAAGGGCAGAAAACGAGATTTTGCTAAACACATCATCGCCCTTGCCAAGGGCGAGGTGGACATTGTGTTGGAGGTGCTGGATATGGCGGAGGACTGATCATTGTACGCAACTTTCATCGTGTAATCTGGGCGTTTTAGGTAGCCGTAAAAACGTAAAAATAGCCGCAAAAATAGGCCCTTTTGCAAATTTACGTTTTTATGGGTAAAAACGTAAAAGTAAAAACGCAAACGTATATGCGCAAATCAAGCCTGATCAAAGCGAAGGGCAAACTTGCAGATGACAAACTCGGGTACATAACATCGGTGGTTGTGATGTTGTAAGTGTTTTGTCATGGGGGAGTACTTGACCGGGTGGGCTGAGGAGACCGGTAAGGCAGAAATGACGCTTGTGTGATGCATTTGGCGAACTTCAGACTGCTGTCAAAGGGGAAATGTCAGGTTGCCACATATCTGGAAGCGCATTGAGCTGTCTGGAGGGACTGCCGATGTGCTTTGAGGGGAGTGGTGCGTTTGTGAAAATTTCAGCAATTTGGCCGCATAGCCTCACCTTTTGCCAGTGCCCATCTGATGGTTTTCTGGAGGTCGTGCTGAGGGCGGTGTGGGTGGCTGGAACAGGTAGAGGGCCCCCGAAGCAGTTAGGAAACCTTGGCATGTGTGATGAGTAATCTTTGCGTTCGAAGTAAATTAAATGGGGGCGCTGGGTATGTGTCCCGAAAGTGTGAATTTGATAGCACAGTGATACAATTTGGAATGTGAATAAAGTCATGCACGCCCAGCGTGCATGTGGAGCATTTTGTCAGGCGCCTCTGGGTCTGCCTAATGCCTGGCTCCCCACCGCCCTACCGTCCCCCCCCACCGCCAGCGCTCCTCTTGAGAAAGCTCTCGCATTGCAATAATGTTAGGCACAAGCTTCTGCACGCACAATGAAATGCTGCTCGTCGCAACCTCCTATGCCGTATCACATCAAGCCAAACCCTGGAATCCGTTCAAAACTCAAAGTTCGCAGTCAGTGCCGCACTCTTTGAATGCAGATTAACAAACTGACAACAGCCAATTGCTAGACTAGCACACTAAACGGCAGCCTACTGCGCCAGCCACTCGACCAAATTCGACCAAGAGATTCTAACAACCGCCGTTTCCTGCCCACTATTCTACGCATCGCTAGACCCCTGGCCAATTTGCAATGGCACAACACGTCAAATCGCGCCAGAGTGACGTGACAGCACGTCGGCCTCGTTTTGAGTCACGTCGACGTCATGTGACGTCGTGTCGGCCTCATGTGAAGTCACATGGACGGCATGTGACGTCACATCGGGGTCATGATACGTAAGCCCTGGCATCCGCTTCGCGCAGTTGGCTCGAGCTCAACTTGCTCCCCTGTGTGCCGCTGTCGCCAACTAGGCCGACGACGATCACCTGCACGTTGGACGCGAATTGAAGCGCTTGACATTATGTATAAGGTTAAGAAACATAAATATAGTACTATCTCTGCTCCACAAGTCCTGCCCGTTATCCAATCTTGCCTTTAACTATATAGATCCATCAATTAGCAAATCCGTCGCCAGATTCATATTCCTTGGTCGATTTGAGGTTGACATGGACCTTGGTTACATTAGTCACTATTATGTAGCAAGACATATACAACATTACGAAAAGTGTCCCTGTCCGCTTGTGTCAGGGCCTCAATTCCCTGCATTTTTGTGCTCACCTTATCTCGTTGTGTTTTAACTTATTACCCACACATGCTTCAATAACCTTGTTTTAGGCAATAAATGAGCGCTACTACGCCCTTTCAAGAGTTTTGACATCACAGATTTTTTAGTCTTTGTGAGTCAACTCCTCCACTATGCTAAATCCTGTTGCGGAAATTCTCCATTTCAATTATTGGGCTTGTTGGTAACAATTTACGCCATCCTGTTTTTAGCATCACCACGCACGGTTTTCCAGATCTTTGTGAATCTACGAGGTTGATGATCTTGCCCCGAACAGGGTGTCCCTTGGCTTTTGGCCTCAACACGCGCACAGTACTTGTGAACAACCTCAACTCCGCGGCAAAAAACAACATTTGCATTGCGGATGCTAATCGAAATCTAGCCGCATCTTTTGTGAACATCTAAACACCAAGTCATAAATCTCTCCTAGGGGTACTTCAGCTTGTTCTACCTCGGCTGAAGGGCAATACGAGCTAGGCGTGCCCCGCTCTAGGTCCCGACAGAAGGAAAAGTGGCGTCTGCGCTCCTCCTAACATATGTCGAGAACAGCAGCGCCCTTTTCCACGCTGAAGGGCTCTACTGATAGCTATTGACATCGCGCATCGAAGCTGTTTCAGTCAAGTTTCATTTTTTGACTTGCACGTTTCGACCACCGTTTGAGCGATTTGGATAACGGACAAGACTATTTTGAACGGAGGCAGTATAACAGAAAATGTAAAATGATACACAATAAAAAAAGAGAACAACCGAAAATCGAAGGGCAGCAAATTGCATCCATGAGTATATGCTTATTAATACCTAAACTGTATTTGAAACATATTGTGTTGAATTGTTTATGTATGCGCAATTGAATAGAAGGACTAATTCCACGATACATTACGTGTTGCAGGGTACCACAAGCAAGCAGCCGCGCGACCTCCTGGGATCTCGACCGTGACGCAGTACTGTGGAATCTGCAAGAAATTAGCTTTTTTTCTATTCCATCATTGCAAAAAATGATTGTCAATGCAACCGTTGCAGATATATCATCATTCTTTTGTAAGAAATAGTGAAAGACTAATCCGTCCTGTAAAGCACTATGTACTTAGTACTGCACAGCGCCTGATTGTGCCGCTTTCTTCCCATAAAGGTGTCGATTTCGGACCTGCAGAGGCTCAAACCCCCTCCTGCTCCTCCCCTCGTTGATCTTCTCCGCACCGATGATGGTCTCACGTGAAACCACGATGGCCTCAACGGATGGGTCCGTCTCGGCGATGGTGGGCTCCGCGGGGTCGCCCAGTTGAGAGACGTGGACCTCAAGGCTCGGCCGGACGGTCCGAATGAAGTCTACGGCTGCGCCGCTGCGGGTGGCAAATGGCTCCAGCAGGTCTGCGTGTTGTTTGTGATGGAGCATCTTGTCCACTACAGAAACATCTGTCTTGGCAACTTGGCAGAGATTGAGTTCTTGGCATTGCTGACAAGACATATTCCTGCCTAGTGGACACTGACAGTACCCTGGGTATCCATGTGACACAACGACCTTTCGCCATTTGCCCTTCTAAGACCTGCCTTGCATCTGTCACTGCATGCCCTCCACAAGCTGCCATCCCCACGGACGCACCACTGCGCTATCAGTGCTTCATATTGCCAATATTTTCCAACATTGATTGTGAAGTGGGCAGGGAGAGTTGAGTTCGCAGCTCGTGCAATATCCACATCTACTCATCAGGCGGCGAAGCAAGGTAATGGCTGAGGGGAAAATGCACACGCAGAGTGCTGTGGCATAATTTGTGGAATGTTTTCAAAACACTAGAGTGCTGTGCAGCAAAGTGCGACTGCAAGGGATGCCGGATAGCAGTGAATTAGAAACAGACAGACCAGAGTTGCAGGTGATAGAACCTGCATTCGCAACAGCTGGATTGTCTTGTTGTTTTGCAAAACATGCCAATTGGGGTGTGCTGCACTTCAGAGTACTTGGCTCTCTGAGCGCATCAATCACGGACTGAATCTACGAGGGAGCAAATGGGGAGCTGAGCTTAGCATCTGCTAGGAAATTGGATGCCTTGTATGAGACGAACAGTCCCAAACAACATAGCATCGCACGTTGCTGCCACCAAAGCCACACCAGATGTTGAACTTCTTTGGATTACGCATCTCTGCTTGGACAATTGGGTGCCATGGCACCTACAGGGGGATGGCGAACAGCCACCCATGAACTGCTGACATGCATCAAGATTTGAGCAGTCCACGCCCTTGCATTGCATCAATATGGAAATCAGTATAACTTTTACCAGTGTGATTGAAAAGGGTTCCATTACTTCTTCATATTTTGGTTCCTAATGTCTGGAATCTTGTACTGCATCACACCCTGCAAGGGATTCAATGCCTGAGTCAGAAACTTGACCAAAACAAATTTGCTGTGGCATGCACAGACCTGTCCATAGCAATTTCTGGCATGCCAATCGTGGTCATCATACTTTATTCATATTGTTACTATTCAGTCTTACTGTCGAATGCTCACCTGTGACACCCACAAATGCATGCCCTGAGCAAACAAGTGCAGTTGCTGCCAACAGGAGTCGATGGCCAGCATGCAGGCGATCGAACGTGCCACCCATGGCCACCCTCTCAAACGTCTGCCAGTAGCCCTTGTCCCAAGACTGGCCCTCTCTTTCTTCAGCTCCATTCGCCTGCAGGATTGTGAGTTCCAGGGGTGCCAGGTCTCGAGCCTCTCGAACAGCATTCATGGTCTGAACAGAGTGCTGCGCGGTTTCTTTCTCGTCGACTGAGGCGCAGATCGTTCCCAGTCCCTCTAGGATGGCCACTTTTTCTGGTGGGGACAAAGATGAGCAGCATGAGCCACAGATTCTGAATATTCCTACTCACTATCCACACTTATTGTTTATGACTGTCCTTACATCGCTGACATTGATGCAGTGTTGTTTTGCTTGTTCACTTTCAAACAGCCCCCCTGCACCATGCAGATAACTGTGTAGGGCTGTTCTCGCCCTCTTGGGGAAGCAAGGGGAAGCGGCAGCAGCCCTTGCCCACTGGAGAGTGTTTGGATCCAGATGAGAGGTTAGGTTTGGCTGTGGAGATCGCTCCAAAGCTGACATCCAAGGGCACCTCAGGATGGCATCAATATGTAGCTGGCTCCTTTTTTCGAGGTGTCGGCAGATCAGGGAAAATGTAAGGGTTGTGGCACTTGCACTGGATGAGCTCATGGCAAACTAGTGCTGCAGCATCAGGGAGAGCACAGTTCCATGTTTCTGCACAATGTCACTGTGGTAATGAGTCCAAGAACGAAAAGCACTGGCAGCATGGCAGGGTGCAATTGGAGCAGGTATAGATAGCACTGACAGGCTGAGCAAAGGCAGCACTAAGACTCCAGACAGAACAACAACACAATTTTGATGGTCACGATTCCGTTCATGTTCTGTATTCCAGATTGTTTGCTCCTCGTCCCATGCTCAGATGATTCCCAAAACGAGAAAAGGAGCTGAGGCAGAATGACAAACTCAGGGGTGTGGGACATAACTCTGTCAACTTTGCTACTCCAGTCCGTTTGTTCTTTCCCCTAAAAAGAATCCCTGAAGAAAGAAATGACCCCACCTTCTGTCCAGCCCGCCTCATGGAACAGTGGCACGACATCCAGCCGGGGCTCTACCCTGGCCACGACATCGTACCAGGCTGCCAGGCACCGCAGCGCAAGTTCCGTGTTGGACATGGGAAATGCAAGCGTGGTATGGTCATGGTCTCCTGAGCACTGCACATATCCTATACACCATACAAATTGTCTCAACAACCGGACACAGGAAATGCAACATGGTATGGCACTGCCCTCATGCTCAAGGCACCTACCCTGTGCACCACACAAACTTGTTGCAATAGCAAGGCTCTTGGTGTCAACAAGTCCCCTTTGGATTTCATTTGTCATGTCACATCGCAAAGCTGTTGCACGCGACTGCTGATACAGGGTAGACACTGCGGATGCTGCTACAGGAGAATGGCCGTTGCTTAGCATGTTGAGGAGCCAGGTGTGTCCATTTAACACAGCGTTCAGTTGATAAACTGATGAGCCAAGCATGCAACACGTACCGCTGTGCAACTCCACAACAGCGTGCAAGGGCTTTGCGATGTCACATGACAAATGAAATCAGAAGGAGATTTGTTGGCACCAAGAGCCTTGCTACACGTACTGCTGTGCAGAATGCAAGGAGTGCAGGTGTCACTTTACCCCATTCACTGTGCTGTTTTCGCTGTGTCTGTGTGCAAACCAGCTGTCCAGCTTTGTAATGTTTGAAGACCACCAGTGGCAACTTTTTAGCTTGCAACTTCCACAGAAGGCGCTCACAGAAGTTGCTGGACTTGAGTTTGGGGCAAAGGATGAGAGAGAAGGGGCGGGAAGGGGAGGCAGCGTTTGCTTTTGTAGGCGCAAATTTTGCAGTCTGTACATTTCTCTATCATTTCATTGCAATTGTTGAGATGTGGCAAAACACAGCCCTTGCATCCACAAGGCAATGTCAGGAAAAAGGCCACATCCACCCCAAACGCTGAAGCCCAAATTCCAGCGTTGGCTGGGAGGGTGGGAGCACAGGCCCTGACCGGTCTCGCTCTAGGGCCCAGCCAAGGCGTCGAGCGCCATCAACCCCCAAGTTGGAACAAATTAAATGAACAAACAGCGTTCAGGCAGACACGGGCCCACCATCACCTTCCAGGTCTAAGGTGTCCGCCCTGCCTTGCTTGAAAGCAACACGACATAGGAAAAAATCAACACCCCAATCCTCACCCCCAGCTCCCTCAGGTTCATCTTCTTCCGCTGGACACTTTCCGTCGTCTTTCCACAGTATGCAAAGCGTTTCACGCACACCTGCTCAGGGAGGCGTGCCCTTTTCACAACCCAATTGTCGTCTCTTTTCCTCATCTTAAGGGTCCAGAAAAACACCCCGTAGCACAAACCAAACACGAGGACATTATGTACCCCAACCCAAGGACATTTCGTCACCCAGCGCCGGGCACAAGCATTGAATCGGGCCGCCGGGCCGCGCGCCTTCCAGGCCCGCGCCAAAGCCGTCCAACAGATCAAACACGAGGACATTTTGCAACGCACAAACATCCACAACATTTCCCCACGAACACAGAATCGGGCACCCGGGCTGCGTACCACCCACATGGATGTACAGCCTGCGCGTGGCGAGCGAGCAGCACTCCCGCAGGGGCCCCAGCGCGTCTTCGCCGGTCCCAAGGTGGAGCCGCAGCAGGACATCCGCCATTGGGCGGGGCCAGTGCGCGTAGTGGATGCAGATTCGCGCGCACAACGTAGTGCGAGACCTGCGGTCGCGTGCGGGAAGTCGCCTATGTGATCCTGGATGTGACCGTCAGCGGATCAGTTGGAAGGTCCCATGAACCTGTCGGCGTGAAATTAGCCGCTGTGTCTTTGCCGTGAAGACCCCGTTCGTGTTTCGACACGCTAAACCCGAAACAAACACTGACCCGCTGATCCACGTTGGCCTTGTCAGCGGAGAAAGAAGGGATACACACGGAAAGACAGAGGGACTGATAAATCCTCGTCCGATGAACCTGTCGGTGTTCTTTTGCCGATGGTGGTAGGGTTGTGTGACCCGGGATCGAACCGAGTGCCTCTGGGTGTGGTGTCCCGCTGCTCTACCAAACCACCTGGACAAGGGGCAGGAAGAAGGTAGTCCGACCCCTTTAGTACCCTTTCACCCAACAGTCGGGTGGTTGTATGTTTTTGGCGGATGCAGGCTTGTTGCTTACGGCGCGGACACAACACGCGTTGACGTATTTATGGGTAATGGTACTTCTGGTATTCACATTTTTATGCGTAAAAATGTGTAGATCCAGACCCTGTGTGTGTATAGAGAAAGTACATGCGGACTAAGGGAGGCCGGGGAATGGGAGGCAGACTTGCTGGAGTGTGCAGAAAACGACCACTTGTTCGAGACGTTGTTGCCCTTGCTGAGGCCGAGGTGGACGCTGTGTTGCGGGTGGTCGATAGGGCCAGAGAACTGATCATTGTTTGCAATTTCGTCATGGAACCTGGTTGTCTCAACGCACCATAAAATTACATACATATAGCCGTTTCTGTGTTTGCGCATTTTTTGCATGTAAAAAGGTAAACTCTAATTTGTGCCACAAGCGTCAAGACCAAGCCTGGGTGTACACATTTGTGAGACCCACGAGTGAGAGAATCATTCCCATACTGTGGAATGACGAGGTAGAGTCTTCCTAACCAACATAAAGTGTAAAATCCTCATGGAGTGACAGCTTCCATGACGTTACGTCATGTTTAGGCGTTGGTACGGTACCAACGCCTAAAATCCCATTAGTCAACATTCTGTTAATCGCGGCGGCGCAGGCTGTCTGCCTCACTCATAGACGTTGCCGCCTTCCCACGACGTGCGGACGCTGCCTCTTCTGAGCTCCAACGGTGCCGACTCATGACGGCAAAGAAGCAGAGACTGATGTTGATAGGAGGCTGAAGGGGCTGAAATTAGCATCAATTTGACTACGAGCATAACGAAACCGACACGCTGCAACTCCTTAAACGAGCGCCGCCTGACTTGATCTGTGTTTGGTTTGTGTCCATTGGTAGGGATGCTCGCCTGGTGGTTCTAGCGCCGAAACCAGTCCATAATAGCCTGCGTCGGCGCATTCGCTGTGTTCGACGTTCTGTACCCTCAATCGAACTGTCCACGTGACAGGCTATGATTGTGCATGCTGACTCTTGCCGTTTGTGCCATTGGCACGGCGCCCCTCCAAGGGAGCTCTGTTTTGCATCGGCCCATGAGGTCGCCAAGGCTGTAACGTAAGAAAGATGTCAGCTGTTAGGTTGATCGCAACGGTGCCTCGTGCGATCAAGCGACCTGACCTGTGTAACTCGAGCGTGGGTTATTATAAATGTTTTGGCCTTTTTATTGTCAACAATTTACAGATGGGCCCACCTTCGGCGCTCATCCCTGCTCGCAACCTAGGAAAGGGGAGTTCAGGAGTTGCAATTTAGGAACCAGAACCCAGCCTGGCGTTGATCACGGCGACACAAAGCCCCCCCGGCACCATTCTGTCCAAAACTCGGCCAATGGGATAGATGCACATTAACCTGCTTTTTTAGCTTTTTTCTTCTTTTCTTGCTTTTTTTTGCTATCCCTTCCACTGCCGGTTTCCAGCCACTACCACATTCTGTAAGGGAGTTCCTGAAGGACTGCCACAATTTTGCACGCGCTGAAAGAGGACATTTTTGCCATCAGCCTACCATCTGACCCCCCTGCCCCTCGCCTTGCCGCCAAGCGGCAGAGTCCCGTTCTTCTGTCGGTCCTTCCGGTGCGACCACAGCGGTCCCCGCTGCCCCTGGCAGCCGCCAAATGACCCGCCCCTCCTCCCGCCCTTCCCCACATGTGCCCTCCGCCCCCCATTCCAATCCCGCTTCCCACAAATACCCAAGCCCCCACCACCCTCCCAGCGCGGGCAGCGTTCGACATCCGAGCCCGACAGCCCCGGTATGCGAATAGCATCGTCGTCGTCGTCGTCTCCTATCCGCGACCGCCTGCAATCGAACCGATCTTCCTCAAGACCATCCCGCCCCCTTGCCCTCTCGTAACCCTCCCCTCCCCCCATGTCCTCCTCATCCTCGAAGAGCAATTCCTCATCCTCCTCTTCCACACCCTCCCCGCTCTCATCCTTCTCCTCATTCCCATTTCCGTCGTCTTCTTCGTAGTCTCCCATCCTTTCGTCGCCCCCAGCGGCGCAGTCGAATTCCGTCTTTTCCGCCACGCCCTCCTCGTCGCTGCTGAACCGATCCCGGAGCGGCTCCCCAAAACGCTGCGGCTGGTCGTCGTCGCTCAGTCCGGGTATGAGCTTGTACCCACCCGGCTCCACCTGGGCGTCGTCAAACGTAATCGTTCTCTCCCCTTCCCAAGTTCGTCCCTTCTTCTTCGGGGGCGCCCAACCCCCACGAATATCAAACCCACCCCTCTGCTGCTTTTTGCAGAACAACTCTGCGCCCTGAGGCGATGTTTCAATCTCTGTGGATTGGGAAGTTTCTGGCAAGTTCTCGCTCCTCCCCTTACCCAGAGGAGATGTTCCAATTTCTGGGGACTGGGAAGTTTCTGGAACGTTCTCGACTTCCCCCGTGCCCACCAGCGATTTTCGAATATCTGGGGACTCGGAAGTTTCTGGGAAGTTCTTGCCGCTCCCCGTGCCCACGGGCGATTTTCGAGCCCCTTGGGATTGGGAAGTTTCTGGAACGTTCTCGTCTTGCTCTGGTGCCTCTCCGGGGCTCCCTTCCCTAGAGGGGGACGCCCCGACTGCCTCGGCCCTTTCCTCGGCGTGTCGATCCGGGGAGGGCGCCCCCGCGGCGCCGCCAGGGCTTGTCACATCGCCGGCCTCCATTTGAGGCGTGGCGTCGCACTGAATGAAAATAGAACGCAAAGCGGTTAAGATGAGGTCATTTGGTCCATTCTTTATACAGTTTACACCATTTATGCATAATTCTCAGCAATTCGACGCAACACATGCCAGCAAATTACAAATTAATTGCTGATAATCAAGAATCAATACTGACCAGATGAAATACAAATGAACAGACAATTGTGACTGATTGATGTAACAGGGTCTCAGCGCGAACTGAAATTCGTGAAGTGGAAAGCTGCTCCCAGCTTCACCAACCTTCACGTCGACGGAGGCATCCGGCGTTTCCGTTATGGCGATGACGTCACCATCGCCAGAACCCGCCTCCGTCAATCCCACCGCCTTGTCTTGCTCCGCCGGGTCCTCTACCTGCTCCTGAAACCCGCCGAGCAAGCAGCACTGTCAGATTGCAATATCACGCACAATGTCACATCACAGCTTGAAACAAACGCACATATTGCTGTTCCGTGCTATACACAACATACATACAATCTAGCGTTACAATATGTTGCAGAATTGCATGATGAGCAAAACAACCCAGCCAGCACAACAGCCACATCGCTTCAAGCTGCACATAATATGCACTGGAAGCACACTGTGTATTGTGACTGCATAAGTTCATTTTCGCATCAATTTATTCCGTACTTGTATTGTATTATCCCATTCCCAACGACATCACTTGATACACCAAATGCATTTGTGTTTATACAGTGCATATATTATGCACATAACGCATTCTAACATGACGAGTCGCTTGGCACACGGTGCCCATCGCACCTGAGCGCTTGCTCCTTCGGGGCTTGCGCATTTGGCACTTATCCCTTCAGTTCCTTCCGTGGCATTCTCGCGCCCCTGTCTTGTTGCGGCCATCAAATACATGGAATGGTCCACAGCGGCCAGAAGCTCCTCGCCTCCAACCAGATCTTCAAGTGTCTAACAAAGCACAAGGGGAACAAGACCACACATTTAGTTACAATGCCGAACCTTAGAGATGTCGCCACAGTGCTGTTGTCAATGCCGTTTTTAACACTGCTGCTGTCACAATATTGTCGTTGTCGCTATTATCACCGTCATCGCTACCATTGTTGCTACTGCTGCTATTATAATGCCATACATGTACGCTGTTTTCACAAGATTATCATTACCAGCTCTGCCAAAACTGCCAGAATTCCTGTGCTTTGGCAAACAGGCACACGATCAACGCTCTTGCCCCCCCCCGCCACCCCACCCCACCCCTATCTGCACAACTGCAAGTGCCTTAATCCTTAATGCACAATACCTTGCTCCAGTTATTCACCACAAACCTACAGCCTAATCATTTTTCCCACGATCCATCATTAGTTAGTCGTCCCCCACTGAGCGAAGCTCACCTTGAATGCGAAGTACAAGAAGGCAGTGGTCGCGTCGTGAACGCTCAGCCTGTTTTCCTTCATGCCCTTGTACCGCGACGAAATTGTGTTCTCGAAATAACAGCAGGTGCTAACGGCTTCGGCTATGCTTTCTGGGCAGTCAGGGACCCTTGAGAGCTGACTCGATATCCTCTCTGCGAAATTCCCTGCCAAAAAAGTTGCAAGAAATTAATGTTAAACTCAATAACATTGAGGTTCTACATATTCTACATACTTCCACACACAATGCAGAAATACTGTGCTGGTGTGTCAGCTCTACCGCCTTAATACACATGATGCGTGCGATTAGATGGCATTAAATGCTGCATAACATTCGTTCCGTCAAAGAAATTGCATGCATAATGTTGATATTGTCACATCCTGCAACCATGTCCTGGGCATGGAATATCCATATCCACGATATTGCCACGTCCTATTCGACGCCAAGGATATGGGTCGATTACATACGGCTGCACAGTTGTAGGCAAAATGGGTTACATCCCCACATGCAGTTGAGTTATACTGCATCACATGTTGTTGTTGTGGTGGTGGGGGTGGTGGGGTTGGTGGGGTTGGGGGTGGGTTGGTGGGGTTGGGGGTGGGTGGGTGGGTGGGTGCATATACAGTAAAAGATGTGCAAACAGGGACATGTGGCGCACCAAGCACCCCCTGTTCCTCGCATTTCGACCATGTTGGTCGATGCTGAGTCGCTACCTTGGTGCAACAGGCTAATCTCGGTTTTGTCCCGGCCCCATCTGTGCCTTGCATTCCAATTTCGAGGCAACAGGCGCACTGCTCTCACAACTGGGCGTTCATACTTTTCGAACTGCGTCACTCTTTGAGTGGCGGGCCTTTCTGCCACAAAGGAACATTCCGCTATTTGCGTATCAGCATTTTCGACTTCCTTCTTTTGGAACATGCCAAGATCGCGCCTGCTGCATTGTGTTTGGAGGATGCCACGCCCCTGCACTGGCCATTGACGCTCGCCTTCCATGATCCTCCCAATATAAACTTTTTACATGCTGCAGCTAGCGTCCGGCCCACTCCCCCCCCTCTCTTGGGGCCTTCCCAGCCGTGGTTGTTTTGGCTCCTCTAGCCTGCTGAGTTGTGGTCAAGTATCTCTTGTGTGGTGTCGGTGCACACCACATGCCGGTCACTAGCAAAAAACGACCAAATAACACTTTTTCCGAACACATATATATGCATTTCATCAGTGTTCTGCGTGTTGAAAACACTGAAATAACCTAAGCCCATAAACTTTGTACACGATTGAACACGTGTTATTTGGCCATTTTTTCCCTCGTGTTGCCCAATTCATGCAATTTCGTGCATGTTCAGATGCGCTAGATTGCACTTACACAATTACTCAATCATCACATGTATTAAACGGCATGTCCCAAGGGGGACAACGTGTAAACTTGCTGAAAATTTTGCATTGGCAAAGCTTCAAATGCTGTTAGGCTGGTACATCGCCTGCATCAGCCTCTGGGGCCGCTGCCTCCACCCTGCATGAGCGGTACCAATGTGGTACCAATGCGGTCCCAATGCAGTACCAATGCAGTACCAATGCGGTGTAAAGCTATTGCTATATTAATGATGATGATGATAATAATAATAATAGTAGTAGTAATAATAGTAATATAATGATAATAATAATAATAATAATAATAATAATAATAATAATAATAACAACAACAAAGAATAAATAAACAACAACAACAACAACAACAACAACAACCACAATAACAAGAATCATAATAATAATGATGCCACTATTATGATACAGTGGTTTTATATTAATGGTGTTATCATGAGCCATAAAGCAGAAACAAGCACACTGTTGGCAATCAAAAGGAAAAACAATAACGTACCGGCACAAGTTGAGTTATTACCTGCGCCATCCTCTGAAGCTGATCCCACTCCCTCAGCGCCTGCAGATGCTACTGTCCCATCGCCATACCCCCTATCGTGCGTTGCTGGGTTAGACCCGCTGGTTGGCCCAAACCCCTCCTGGCCCTCAACTTCCTGGGACCTCTCGTTGGCAGCTTCGGCATGACGTGCTCCCCTGTCTGATGACGTTATGCTTCCATCCAGCTTCTGGACACTTTCGTCCACCTTCAGGGATGTTGTGTCGTCTGGGCGCTCTGCAGGGCTGTCAGCTTCGGCCGAAGAGGAGTCAGACCTGTCGCAATAGGAAACAGGTGGACATTTGAGGCATTTTTTGGTTCGATAGTTGACACAATTTGCATATTTGCTAGATTCCAATTTCCGGTGAAGTTTGCCATCAGCCTAGTGGTTGAGCACCAAGCGCAGTGGCACATTGCCCATTGCTGCATTGCTTCACCATTGCTCCCTTATATTGCCGGCAGTGGCACGAAATCGAAATTCGAGCATGCTGGACAATGGCTGATGAACACAACACCATACAACGGTTTCTCTTTCATGTCTAAATGCCTAGCACGACTCCACCCAACACACTGTCCCTTTCAATGGGCTGATTCATATATAAACAAACAAGCAAACATGCACATGCAAACCATTTGCAATTCGAACATATTTGGCAATTCGGCAGGGAGGTATTCACCTTTCGCCCCTCGGAGGGGCCAGGTCCTGTATGTTGGCGATCACCGCGGCATCATCGGGGTGCAGATTTCGCAGCTCGACCTCGTCCAAGCGTGCCTTGCCCGCCAGAATCCTGTTGCTCAATTTCTGCAGGTCGCCCTCAGGCATCCGCCCCCGCTGTCCACCGCAGCCATCAGTGACCGCATCAATGCCATTCGAATCGAAACACGCCACCTTCGGCATCATCAATACTGCTTGAGTTTGACCCACGCACACAATATTGCTGCTGCTGGCCACTGCAGCCACTCCCCCACCCCCGTCACTGCAGTTCCACTTCGAATAGGTATGTTCAAACATATATTCCAAGGGCTTAGATGGGATCCCACGGCTGTGTACACGGTCACGGGTTCCCACCTAGCCGCTTTGGTTCAGCATGTACAAACAGCATTGCTGCAATCCACCGCAGCTGTCAGGGGATGCCGCCAGTGCTGTTCCAATTCTGACACAGGACTGGGTGATGACGCTGTGCCTGTCGGCACTTCCCCGGGTGCAGGAGCCCTGCTTTGTGGTGCTTTTGACAAAATTTGCCAATGGAATTCACAAGACCTGGGATTCCATCAATGACCATTGACCGCTTCCTGCTCCGCCAACCCTCTGTACATACATGAATTATAAATCACACATGTTCTATAAACAAATTTGGATTTGGAATCCCATGTTCACGGCTGTTGCATTCCGGACAGTTGTCTTGGGTGAGCAACAACAGTCGTATATTGTATGAAAATTGCACAATCGATTTGAGTATTACAAATCCCAGCAAGCGCCTTGTCACTCTCTCCGAGTGCGTGTCAACTGCTTTCTTGTCACAAACAACAGCATCGCCTTCCAACTGAAGGCGTTTTGCCACTCTCTGACAAACGCAACAAGGATTGACACATGCAAAATTAGACTAATGACACTGCACCTGACATAATTGAACATAGCTGCTTAATTCACTCAGAATGCACACCTGCACCTCCTCCACCACTTGGCTTTCAGCGCCCTCAGCAGACGCCTTGGCACTGCATGCATCATCTGCCAGCGATGCGCTCTGCTCTTGTGGGGCCACGAGGGGGGCCTGCTCGCTTTGAGGGCTGTGCGGCCCCCTCTGCACAGACTCCAGTGCACCATCCTTCGTGTCCTCATGGTAGTCAGAGGGGCTGTTGGGCGGCACCGGTTTGGGGCTGCGCAGCAAGCACGATTCATGGATGCTTGTGATCCCCTATTTGACGCTCGAAACAGGGGTTGAAATGTCCATTGAACATTAGTGCCATCTCACACGGAATCTGCCCATGTTTGATGGTGTTGACTGGCCAAGAATCATGTGTTAATCTAATTACTTGTGTACACAATATCATTTCCATATATCTGATTGATATCTACAATTGCCCAACTTGCACAATCTTGACCATGTTCTGGGCGCGGTTTTTCGCCAGATGGCCCGGTTTTGAAACCTGACGGATCGTTCCACAATCCCGAACATGACATTCATGCACAGCACAGCTTTTAGACAATACTTTGGGTGGGTGGAGATTTTCGGTTTGTTTCTTAGGGCCTTGGCTCAGCGCCATCAGTCAACATGGGACATGGCATTTGTACGTATTCCCTGCAATTTTGTGTGTGTGCAAGTGAGCGGAGCTTTGGACCTTGTTTTTGCACAACCATGTATATTCTGTAGAATCATTTGGTATCAACTTTATTTGTTCAATCATGCCATATTGTATTGCTGTATTTCATAATACGTCTTATCAATGTACAACACATTGGCCACTCCGCTTGGCCAACTTTGATATCCTAGAACAATGCATCTCCCAGCTATGACCAGTGTTCTGCACTGCAGAAGACTGGGACGCTATTCCTGCAGGTGCAAGACTTGGCATACGTGTTGCTTGGTGTAGGACAGGACCCAATTCAGATCACAGTACTCAATAAGGTTACCTTGTCAGGCCCAATTTTCTGGCAGAGTGTTTGCTAAGGATTTTCGTTTTCAAGAGTGTATATGGACACCTCACATTCTGGTGACACAGAAGCAAGGTGCCCTGCCATCTTGAGGGAGTGTGAAACATGCATATCGGCAAAATGGTTCACATCAAATGCATAATGCACACGAGGAGAATGCATAATGTGCAGTGCACACAATGTGATAGTTATGTTACTTTGATAAGGGTTGTGCACTGTGTGATAGTGATTCGCGTACAGTGACTGGTTCGCACGAAAAGGCCATTGCAGGCAGGGGCCTGGGAGTGCGCAATGCATGCAGAAACGGCATTGAAGGCATCATGTGTGCTCGATGATGTTGTTACGTAAACAACAGTTCACATGCACTCTGCATCATTCACAGTTGAGCAAACACACCATCATTTGAGAAAATTGTGCCATTTGCCCAGTACACAAAGATTGCAAGCAGCAGTGCACTTGCAGATCTGCGGAACTACACCCATCATCGCTTCTGAGGTGCAAGTCGTTTTTGGACCGAGGCAATCAGTAGAATTACCACAGTCGTCAAGTGGAAGAGGCCAATGGCTGGAAGGATGGCGAGAACACAGCCAAGGAGCACTGTGGATTCACGTGGAATCCATGCAACTATTTGCTATCCATGACCAGAAGCAGTCCCTGCACTAAGCTTAAATTGATGGGGGAGCATTGCCCTCAATTGCACTGTTTGTCATCTGCCATCCACAATGGAGATTGCCAGCACAGGACAAACAGACCAAATACTATTGAGCATCAAAGCTCTGTGCAGGAAAACCAACAACCACCACCACAACAACAACACTGCCGCATGCATACAGCAACTGCTGCAGCACTTTGGCAATTCAAGCAGTGGCACACCTGGCCTGCACATGATTGCAATTCACTCGATTGACGCCTATCCCTGCTGAGTCCATGGATAATGCATTCGTCGGAAATTATTAAATTGTTAGGAAATGCCACAGTACTTGAAGTCCTTGCTGTCTCAAAGGCTGGTGAGCACCAAGACGCCATATGGATCTCAACACCTTGTGCGCATCCTTTGAAAATTGACAATCTCGCACATATTGTTCTAGGAACTAACAACCAGCATTGCTGCAATATTGATTATTCTATCAATACAATATGCTTCTCACTTAACTCACAACAAACCTGATGACGCATGCACCCACCTGGGGCATTGGTGTGACAGCTTCAGACAAGGTCCTGCTGCCTCATATGCGCCGAACAGTGCCTCCAGTGTCTGGGGATCTAATTTCTGCAGCTCAGGGTCGTCGATGGAAATCTCCCCATTGATGACCCGAGACTGGAGGTCCCGGAGAATTTCCTCTTGGAGCGACAGGTGGCGCTGTGCTCCAAAAGCTTCCAAGAAAGACTTGCCGACGGGAGCCGATTCTTCTGCACCAAGAGAGCAGATAATATTGAGCACTGAATATGCAACATAGACTATTGAATACTCAATATTCATGCAAAATACCAAATTCTCACCCCTATTTGAATGTTATAAAAAAGTAAAGTGCCAACTTTGATCCAATGTTTTGGGGGCCAATAAATAAGCAAGATCCCAGAGGTTGGAAAGGTAATTCGAATTGATAACTATTGTCAAACAATTGCTATACCCTGCCTTGTCGGTCAACGGGTGGCTTCAGGCACTGGTCACTAGCAAATGAGTCCAAGTTTAAACAAATTTGCATTCCAGTTCCCCGTCAAGTAGCCCACTGTACTGCCAGCATGCCACAGAGCAAAAGAAGAAAACAATGAGATCCTGAGGATGAAATCTGTATACCTGAACACAATTTCTGGCCAAGTGGGTGCAAGGACAGGACTTAGCACTTCAGCACTGCTACCACTACAGTATTTTACTGCAATGCTTTTACTATTAGTAGGTTCAACACTTAGCAAGTAACAAACCTGTTTGAAGCCCCAGGGTGTGATGCAGACAACAGCTCACAAAGGTCCCTTTCCAGTGAAAGTGGGTGCAGTTAAGTACTACCAAGTGCTATGGGTACTGCCACCTTCTATTATTCTACATGTTAAGCACCACAATGTAATACAACACTACTTAACTACTATCAAGCACTGCTTAGCACTACTACATATTACTCTGTGTTGAGCCTTGTGCCCATTTGCTGTTTAGGAATGCAGAAAACATGAAGGAGGCCACATTCTCAAGGGGGGAAGGGGAGGGCGAGCATGTGTGAAATTTGGGAACTCTGTGTGCAATGCAATCATTCACTCACTAACCGAACAAAAACAACCACACATTAGGCAAGGGATGTATCTACACTGAACTCAAATCATAAGACACCTTCATTTTGCTGGTGGTCTAAATGGACCCCACAACACTTGAGGTCAACTGAGTACTAGTATTTTCAAAACCAGGAGGATACTTTCAGATTGAATCTTCGGGTGGAGGACACTCCCACTACTCAGCCAGGAAGAGCCTCCCATGGATCACTCCCCTCTCAGAACCTAACTCTTTGACGTTCACATCCACACTGCAGAACGACATGGGCATTCCGGTGTTCTGTTCTGTCAGGCATTACGAGGTCTAGACCACCTGAATCCTGATGTTGTCGGTTGATCTGAACTTGATAGAGATGCACGCCAAGACCATTATGTCCTTTGTCATTCTGCTGCAATGGATACATTGATTCATTCGCAGCGACCCAAAGCGCAGTCAAAAGCAGATAATCGGAACAGGCCCCAATGAATGCTTGACAAGGAGGGGCTACTCCAATGTACCATGTGTTTTTGCGTTCTCATGATACATCTTGACACCCAAATGCGCTCTCCTTCCCCAAACTGAATTTTCCTTTCAGCCTTTGCCCATAAGCACCAACACAATCTGCCAGTCCCCAAGCAGCAGGGTACAATCCTCGAGCGCGATCCTTTGATTCCACGTGTCTGAGAGCGGGATAACGCAAACCTTGCACCCTGCATCTGCAGCGGTGCAAGTCCACAAGCAAATAGTCCCAAACAAGGTCGACACAAACGCCAAAGTCCAAATGCCAGGCCAAATCGACGCGAACTGTTGCGCCTCCCACCCATCCTTCTGACGTTCTTTCATTTGCGTTACGAAAAAAACTCGCCCAGTTTGTCTCGGGGCTCCCGCCAAACCTTTGTGAAGTCATAAAGGTAAAGTGGGATTCTGCCTCATCATTCCGTTTTGTAACAATCTGACCCATCCTGTTGACTCCGCCGCGCAGCCCCAGCCAGAGGCCCGCGCTCGCACCCTCCAGCGCGTACCACACCGATCCAACCCGTGCGCCTAAACCTGTCCCCAACGCTGCGTCTAAGCCTGCCCCAAGTCCCAATCCCAGCGTCCGTGTCCCATTCGCAACGTTTTCCGCAACGCGTCAGCGACAAAGGTGAGGCCTCGCGCCACAGCCAACGGCAAGGCCACAGCTGGGCCAACGAAACTGGCCCCACCGGATGCCTCGCAAAGGGAAAGCACTGAGTGAAAAGAAGGGTGCACCGAATCCCCTCGCCCATCCCCCAGCCCTCTCCTGCACACCAGCACAAGCGGAGCCACGCTCAAGACACCCATCGCCGACACTCAATCCGTTCCGATCACTGACCCGCAGCGGCAGGGAAGGGCAGCGAGCGGGCAAAACGCCCAAGCCACCTCTCCCCGCGCACGCGCCCAGGACCTCAGGCGATCTCCAAACACCCTTGCCCGCCGATACCCAATCATTCCCAATCAGTCATCTACAGCGAGAAAGGAAAGGCACCGGAACCGGCAACGCAACCGTGCGCCCCCCCACTCTTCCCCACCCCACCCCACCCCACCCCACCCCACCCACCCCACGCAAGCACCACCGACGACACCTTCCAGACAGCCTCTCAACTGGCGATACTCCATCCGTTCCGATCAATTAATTGCAATAAAAGCACCACGTGCGCTCACACTATCCCTCGGTGCGATGTGTCCCGCAATCCCCCGGCCGAATTGCCAGCGGTCAGCGGCCGACTGCCCAGCAATCCACGGCCCTTCCTCGAGGGCAGACGGAAAATCGATTCATGTGATCCCAACCTGGCGCGACGACGGGAGCGTCCGCCCCGGAATCGTCCTCCTCGTCCGAGAGCAGATCGATCACGGGGGAGTCGCAGCGCGGGGGCCGGACGACCGCGGTCGTCGAGGGGCGCGACGCACTTCCCATCTCGACGAACCGTGGGCCTGTGGGGTTGACAGGAGATGTGGAAGCACGGGAACTTCAGGTTAGGTCACCTGGCAAAGAAAATAGGACCTGATCCCCATTTGACTCAGCTGGTAAAGCTGAGGCGACTGAGATGCACATATCTGTGGTACGTGTGGGGGCAAGGGGGTTGACTGGAGAAAATGTGGAAAACAGGGGACCTATAGGTTAGGTCATCTGGATAGGCTGCGTCATGAAAAAATAGGACGTGAACGGCATTTGTGTTGCCACATACGTTTGTGGTGTTGTATGGTAGAAAAAGCAAGGTCTCGACACCTGATTGGGGCACTTGTGTTGTGTGGTGCTCCAGAGGCTCAATGCACACTCGTAGGACCGTGTGATGATAGTGGGATATTCCCATCCCCCATCGATATGGGACAAGGGTGTTGACCGGAGGAGATATGTTGACCTAGGAGAACTAGGTTAGGTCTGTGGTCCATGTTGTATGGTTACCAGATTCTGCCGTGAGGAAATAGGACCGAATAACTGTTTGAGTTTTAACATGTCCAATACTTGAGCAAAATACTGGTGGTGTATGGCACTCGAGTGGTTGAACTCATTCCACTGTTGGTGATCTAATGTACCCCATGCGACAGCTAGCATCCACTAAGGCAGTCGCACAAGCAATAGCATTACAAAATCAGTCTATTGGAGAGACCAAAAGCTACTAAAGTAGACCACGAATTGTGGAATTGATTCGATTTCAGAAATGGCAATAAAAATGCCATTTCAAGGAAAATATAAACCAAGTACAATAAAGTACTTATCCTTAATAAGGATTCCTTATGCCATACTTTCCAATAGTAGTTTTTCAGCAGCCAAGCGTCACCACGTCGATGGGGGAGGGTGTGATTCACCAAAACCTTCTTACTCAGACCAAACACCAGAATTGGCCTTTGTCCCTTTCCAGAGCAATACGTGGCGCCCACAACTAATTGCACGGAGAATTTATTCAACTTTTGCATTAGTCCCTCCACATATACTAATATTGGTAAATAAAAGAGCTCATCCAAATGCGAGCTGATATGAATGAACTCCAATCTTGTGGCCAACTCCTGTATATCACGGTACTGAACTAATGCACTTTGTGTTGCGTTCACCTTAGCTTCAAACCAGAGGTGGGCCGTGGGAAGTGCTGCCAGAACTGGGACCAGGAGCGGGCCTGGTCTTTGCCCCGTCCCGGTCCTGGTCCAGTCTGGCCCACCCAGTCCAAGCCGGTCTTTGTCCAATTCTGGATTTTTTTTGGCCCGGCTCTGCACTGGGCTAGCACCGGGCACAAATTAGGGTTGGGCCGGGTGCGTACAGGGGTCGGGGCCAGGTGTGGTCTAGATCCAGGGCCGGACAGAGCTGGATTCTGTTCCTACCCAGTTTGGTCGGGTCCAACCCAGTCCTCAGCCGGTCCAGTTCGGTCCAGTCCAATCCCAGACCGGACTTCATGGCTTCGAACAAGGTGCCTTTACTATGCATGTGGCAAACGGCCTGGTTCTACAGGTGGATGAATGCAGTTGCCCTACAACTGCGGTCAGCCGCCTACAACACCAGGCTAACTAACACATACATAGCAAATGCAACTCGTTCCATATTGGAACTAGTCACGAGAGTCTGAGAGGCCCCACATCGCACACAAGGAGTAACACAGGATTTGTCTTCATTATTTTGCAACTTGCATGCTCACATTGTAACGAGTGTCATCTCAATGAAATGCCCCTAAAAAAATAATCCCCTTAAAAAACATACAATGAAAACCAAAAAGAGTTACAGGTCGGGTTTTCCTGAAAGGAAGGTGCATCCCTCGATTCTCTCGTCAGAGAGGCTGGCCCTGCGTGGCTGGATTGTATGCCCCACCCTAAAGAGACCCCTCTCCGACGCCCCACTACCTGCTGATACGCACAACGAATAGTGTGCGATTGTGGCCACCATTGGCCCAACCCCGGCATTTCGAGCCCAATATGCCAAGGTGTTTAGTGTTTTACAATGCCCCTTTACCTCGTGAACCCTTCAGCCATGGCTTCAATTGTTTTGTGAATATGCAAGTCATTCCACACATCTTGTAGCATTTCTGATCCATTTTGTTCATGATTGGCATTTTGCTTTTACGCCTGCCATGGTGCCTCATTCAAGGCCGCCATTCGTTATTTCAACAATGCCAAACTAATCGCTTTCGCCATGTTTGCACCATGGTCACTCTGTTTGGCGATAGCATCAAATGTGTTTTTTTGCCACAATGGCCAAGACTATTGACTATCGCCACTGTTCTGGAAAAGCTTTGCTTATCACTTTAACAATGCAGCTTCTAAGGCCCCAATCGTTGTATCAACTATATTTGGGAGTTGGCAGTGGCTGGGCGGACGCCGTTATTGCACAACTTTGGCCATATCTGATAGACGTGGCTGCATTTCTGGCACCGATCAGCGGCGATATTGTGAATGTCCTTATTTTAGTTGTCTGCAGAGCTTCCCTACTCCTGATGGCACAGGGAGTGTGGAACCAGCCAGGTGTTTTGCATGCCATATGGCTCCAACAGGGAGGGCCAAAATTTAAGGCATAAGCAAGCATATGGCAACAAAAGGTTTGTTATTTGCATCAAAAACGCATGTTATATTTGCGTTTGTGTGCAAAATAGTTCTTACTTTTGTTGCGTAAACGCGCGTAAAATTACGTAAATACAGGCTCAGTGTACATAAAGACAGTACACACAGACTTGGGAGTCTGGGGAGTGGCAGCCAGACGCGCTACAGGAGAGGGCAGAATGATGTTCCTCGACATCGTTGCCTTGCCGTGCGCGAGGTGGACGCTGTGTTGCGTATGCTCGGGGGGGGGGGGGATTTATTGTATGCGACTTCATCAAGTACTCTAATTATCCCAAAGGGCAATAAAAATGCATAAGTATAGCTGCAAGAATATTCGCTTCTGTGTGCTTACATTTTTGCGCGATGAAAATAAACGCAAATGACAAAGCTGAGAACAAATGATACCTCGACTCGTTGACTTCGTATCACGAAACGAACGCAGTGGTGTATCATCACGAATCTGATAGGGCTTTGTGGACTCTGCTAACAGAGCAGATTAACATAGTATATTATACACCTTGCGTAGTACGTGCAATATATCATGCACTGTGGGTGGCAGAACACCTGGCCAAATCCCGTTTCTTTGCGTGTTTTTACTTGAACGCATTGGCTATCAGCAGAAGCATGCACTGGAGATATCGATGTCTCCAGCGCAAATAAAAATGCGCCTGCAAATTTCAGTAAAAAAATGCGCCTTCTTTCTGCAGGAAGGTCACATTGGAGCACGGCCAATGCGCCAAACC